TTACAGATAGAAAAATGATGTGAAGCTTTCTAAATTTCAACGGCTAACTTTTATTTTCTTTGGCTTTTGTTGTTTGGGATTTTGATAATCTTTTGAAAAAAGATGTATATATATACAACACACTGATTTAACAGTCTTTCTTAAAAATTTTTTAAGCTATATAAAGAATAAAGGAAAAAATTCAAATTAGTTCTCAAATGAAAATTAACAAAAATGAAACCATAGATGTCACCAGCAAAATAAGTTGCCATTGTAGATGGAATAAATGGGCTGTTTGTAGACGACTGTTGATTAGATTGATTACCAGTTTGAATTTTTCATCGAAATTGATGTAACATTTAAGCCAAGGTTTTTGATTAAACTTTAACAAAATCAACAAGCTCGCTTAAAAACTTTTGTCTTTCGTACAAATTGGTGGACCAAATGAATTAAAAATTTTAAAACTCCTATTCAACAATGCAAAAACATAATTTATCTTGTAGAGTAATAATATTCTCGTCAACTTTTAATAACCTGCTATTGTCAATTTCATTTTAATATGGCTGTTTATAATAATAAATGTAATTAAAATTTGAAGCATTATGACACAATATTATCATCTACCATCATAACACCTGACGAATCGAACGCACGACAAGTTTAATGATTATCCTGTAACGTCATCTTAAAAGTTGAAGGTTACTCTCTCTTTTCGGCTTGCTTCAGAGGTTTCAACGACAAAAACACACGGCGTATATGAATACGCGTAAAAACCACGCAACATACACATTGCATATGATAGGCTGGGATCTCTTTGTATTCGAACCCAGACACTAGAGAAGCAAGACCAGGCGTTTTTAACCATTGAGCCATCACGCCGCCCATATTCTAGAACAAACCATTCATCTTTAGAGAAGATGAATAAAGTTATTGCAAACAGAATATTGTTGTTCAAGTTTGGATGTCTTTTGTATGTGTGTGAGCGCGTAATTAACCCATCGTAATGCAATTCAACTAAAAAAAATCATCAAATTTTATTTAATTTTTTTTTAATTATTGGTAAATTTTTTAGACATACATAATATTCTGCATAAGGAGTGACCAATAGCTACATTAAAAAAACAACTGCAATAACTTTATTAACAAGACAAATGACATCAACAAAATCCTATCGAACAAAACATTGATAAGATACAACGTAGATATTACATACTGTTCTGCTTAATTAACTGAAAACTAGAAAATTCACTCCACGCCATGATGGCAGACGGAAATTTTATAATTACATTTAATTAAAAAAACATTTTTTAATTAGATTCTTTAAAACAGCAAAGCAAAGAGAAAAATATTTTAAATTACCAGTTTATATATATTATATATATTCAATGTTTATGAAGATTTTTGTAAATGTTGGTAAAAGAAGATTTTTGTGTAAATGTTTTTCATAAATTATAAATTAGATCCACCACGTTTTAAAAAACTTTATACAAATTTTTTTATTGGAAACTAATAAATTTATTTGAATACTTTTCAAAAATTTTATACAATTCTTGAATATAAAATTACTTAATATTTTGTATTTTTCCATTTATTTGTTTTTTTTATAGCAAGTAATTGAATTAATTAAGAAAATTATCAATGAAAAAAAAATTTTTTAATTAAAAAACATTCAGTTCTCCTGCTTCTAATTTTTTTGTACGTAAATTTCTTCCCTGTCTCTTTTCATTAGTTTTTTCTCAGGAATGATTATTTATGTCTGAATAAAATTGTTCCAGCTAGAAAAATCGCTATAACAGCTATTTTTTATAAGATTCGAAATGCTATCAGAATTCAATTTGAATGTTTGGCATTTTTCAATCTCAAATGCTTCTGGTTTTTTTTTTTTAAAATGGACATTAATAAATTGTTTTTACTTTTAGTTTTCTACAATTTAAACATTACAAATCGTTTTAAACATTGAAAAACATTTTAGATAAATATCTTGCAATGGTAACAAGTGCAACTGTCGTTGTTATTCAATCACCGTTCTTCAGTAGCTTTGATTAATGTATAATAATTATAAGTTGTAAAACTTGCGTAAACTGATTCATCTACTAAAATAATTTCGATTATTCTGTTTTGCAGTTTCTATGCCAATTTATTACACTGGCGGCTGCAGGTTTCATCATTGACTCACAAACTTTTTTCTTAAATTCGCAAACAGCTGAACAATAGATGGACTGAATGGAATGGATAGATAAGTGGATGGTTGATTGGTCTATTTATACAGATAAGGAGTGAGATGTTGGATATAGAGATGCATGATGAATCGGCGGTGCCGGCTAAAAGTTTCATGGGGGCTTGGAGTGAACGAGTAGATGGAATTGATTAGAACGGTGCGAGATGTTGAAGAATGTATGAAGGAGATAGATGCTTGAAAAAAATGGATATAGAAAGAAATAATTCAAACATTTTTCAACTTAGTAGTATTTAATTGTAACTGCAGAACAGGTAAACTCATTCCATTTTATTTTCACCAATAGCTTTAAAAAATTATTAAAAAATTTTCAATAAAATATTCGGCTTGTGGCATCAAAATTACTTATGCTTTCGTTGGCATGTCAATGCAATGATACTTTTTAGTAAAGAAAGGATTACTCCAAAATTAAAAAAATAGCATTTAAATTCAGTTCTCAGAAAATGTATATAGAACCATACCAGTTCTATTAAATGTAATAGGCTAATAAATAAGTTGAAATTTTTTGGTGAGGAAGATAGAGAAATTGCGAATTATCAGCAAGTTTAACTGAGCTCTAAATCTCCATCTATTTCGATCGGCTTGCGTGTTTTAATGTGCGCATTTAATTGGATTACATGTTGAACTTTTTCAGAAGACATGTTCAGCGGTTGCGGCTAATGCTGCTAATACTGCTACCACACATTTAGAATTGTTCGCAAAATTTGCGTGTCATTAATTTTGACGTTCAACGTTTTTTGCCACTAATGATGAAATGAAATACTTTTAAATACAACATTTTTTTAAAATTCGTAATTCAAGTTTGAACACTTAAAAATTATTCGTGACAACCGTGTTACAACCGTGTGCGTTGTTATACTACAAATTATTGGTTTTCAATACTAACAGATTGACAAACGCTGATTATCTGATAAAAAAAAAAAAAAAAACATAAATTAATATTTAATCTACAAACATACATAAATTAAATTATAAACATCGCGTTTTCTGTTCTTATTTATTATCTACGATAGTAAGAGAATTTTAAATCGCTTATCATTTTCACAATTTGTAAGTAAAAATTATCTTAATGTTAGCGTAGATAGCTCAATCATTGCGTAACCAGCAGAAAGATGATGGCACATGAACAGCACACGAACAACACATTGCGCAGAACAGCTTCTGCTCACATATAGCAAAAGGCAGAAGGAAAGTTTTATTAATGTCTTGTGGAAACATGCACAATATCACGTCTCCCATGCATTCATTAGTCATATAATATTATTATATTGATAATAATACCGGGCGTTAATAATATTCATGGCCTCTTTATTGGCAGCAATGTTTTGAGCGGGGTATTGATGGTGGTACGTCTCTTATATAGGAGGTTTTTGCGCATGTGAATGCTGGTCATTTCATGATTCGATAGTCATTTAATGAAGTATGAGTTGGTGCCTGAGTTCAGTCGATGAAATGGTGGTGTGTATTTCTTTTACACTTGATGCTTCGAAATATATTCCTTGTGAACAGATGTACTTCCTACAAGATCTTCCACTTAATTTTGTTGTTGTTCTGTGAAATGAAGTTTAGGAATGAATGTTTTATTTAAAGTGATTCAAATGCTTATTTTAAAGTTTTCAATTTGTTTAAAACTCTGGGTGATTATTTGAAAAAATATATATTTACAGCTAACAACAATAAAATAAATTTGAGGATATAATATTTATTATAATCAATCCAAAATAATGTTGATGATTAAACTTGTAATGTTGTGTAGTTTCCAGTTTATCAAATTTTGAAACGATAACCAAAAGTGGTAAATAAATAAATTTGATACAAGTTGAAATGTTTTAGAAGTGCAATTAATTTCATTTGTTTTCGTTAAATTAAAAAAATTTAAAAAATTGTCGTAAATTAGTTTTAATGTTATAAAGAGTGCAAAAACAGATGAGAATTTTTGAACGTCAATTCTGGATAGGTAAAAACAAAATGACATTTGGAAGAGGAGGAAGAAGTGCATGTACATAAAAGTTTACATATGTAAATGAAAGAACGAATGAATGAAAAAATAAATGAATGAATAAAAACATATGAACATTTGTTTTCTGTTGTGTGAAACACAAAATTCTAAACGGTAAGTGCTTTTATTAATCAATACATGCCACATGAGAAATAGCTCAAATAGCAATTCTCATACTCATTCAATCAATCAATCAAATCATCTGTGACTCTTTTTGATATCACTTTGATGAAATATTAACTTAATCTCGCTAATCTCACACCCTCGATAGCAAATGTTTTTTATCAAAACTATTTTCTTCCTAGTTTGGTTGAAAACGTACATGCCAGGCACACAAAAAGCAGACGTGTGATACTCGGGCGCATACACCAGCTGACAAGCAATTGGTTAAAATTTGGTAACAAATTTATGTCTTCAAAAACAACACAAAATTTTATATAACAACTCATGACATCTCATTTCACAAGACCCAACAAAAAGTTCATTACACAACGACACACAACAACCCAAACAACCACCTTACAAGTGTATCTTCGATTCTCTTAAGAAATTCTTCCCTCATATAAAGTTACAATATTTGAAGACAAACAGCCTTAAGTTTTCAAACAACAAAACGCGCCTGTATTGAATTTCAGGCATGCTTAAATACAACCCACGCAAGCCTACTTACTAATACATAAAAATACTCAAAAACGTTTTAAAAATGTACACCACTTTGAGGACAACTGCATGCATGCGAACATGCAAACATGCATGCGTACGAACTTGCAAACATGCATGCGTATGAACATATGGGAACAAATGCGCAAAAATGTTCAAACTTCAAACATCAACAATTATATAAACACGTGCACAAACACACATATAATCACGCGCAAATACAGTAACGGTCACGGTCACACATATTTTAACACATGCAAACGCTGAAAACTGATTTACTAGCATGC